CCTGACTTTTCCAAATACGTGCCTCACAATAGTTACATCGGGTCGAATTGGTAGGAACGCATTCACCACGATCCTAAGACCATGTATTGAGGGAAAACCTTCGTGGGAAAACCTCAATAATTCTTCCTGTGTCACAGGCTCATACCTGGTTACCATTAGGCTGCTGCCTAACAAATAAGGCTTGAACTCTTCCAACCATATTAAACACCATACATGTCATGAACCCCTCCACGACTCATTAGACCCAAGTATAGGCCTTGGCCCAGTTCATGCAAATCTATTCTTAAATGATAAATTTAGATTGCAGACAGGACGACTCGAACACCAGTCGTGAGTCATCTAAGCCACATGCATCATAACTATTTTAATAACTAAAATTACTAACATTAAAATGAAGCTGAATTAAAATAGACGGAGATGCTGGTGTTTGTCGGAGGACAGGTCATGATCTATTTTGAGAATGGTATGAAATGAGGGAACGAGATCATAGTCTTGTAAATAAATAGGAGGCTTTCAGTCATGTCTCTGCTCGTTACTTTAAGATTTTCATTTGTATCTAGCTCTGAGTCCAGTTTGAATAAAACGCCACTTTAAGACCGTCACATCCTGTACTCTTTCACGACGAGCAGCCGTAGTCCTCCCTTAAACAGGCCGTGTAGGAATCCAACCTACCACTTTTAGAAAGCACATCAAGCACCCGACCAACTGTGCCAACAGCCTGTTGAAAATCACATATTGTTCTTTCTAAATTCTCCTCTGCATTGCGCTCAACCCCCATTTGAGAGGGTTGAAATTCCGAAATCGAGAGCTCAAAACCGAAGCATCGGTGCCCCAGCTTTTGTCGTACATTGTTCGTTGTCTGAGTGAGGCTTCTTCGTTTGCGTCGTCTTTGGAATGTGTCAAAAAGTTGAGAATGTTGATGTCGCCGTCGAGGTGTGTTGTGATAGGTTTATGATTTGGGTGTACATACAATTTATGGGAGCTCGCTGCTAGTGATCACAGGTGGGCTGCTGGACCGGACAGGTCAAGAAGTGGAGTGGAGATTGATCTCTGTAGAATGAGGAAAGACTGAATTGCTTGCTCTATCTACTGTGGAGGAAAGCTCTCTACTTATAGTCCCTAGACTATTGCTTACTAATGATAGTAACTAAACAAAGCAGGAGCAAACAGAGCAAACGCAGGCAGTCGCGTGACCATCATAACTTGAGCTGTGCACTGTAGCTATGTGGGTCCAGGCACAACACTCCCCCTGTTGGTAACAACTTCTTAAATTATTGAATAGCAACTGATGATTTAACCTTGGTAAGTGAGTCAGCTAGTTGATCAGAAGAAGGCACGTAGGACACATCAATCAATCCCTTTTGATGCTGCTCCCGACAATAGAAGTTTCTAAGTGAGATATGCTTTGATCTTATGCAATTGTCGTGATTTTTGATGAGGGAAATTGCCAATTGATTGTCCATGTACAATTTGGTGCATTTTGCTCCCTCAATGTGATCAGTAATGTTTAACTCTTCGAGAAGCAATTTTGTCCACTGTATCTGACAACATGTTTCGGTGGCAGCAAGATACTCAGCCTCAGTTGTAGACAAAACAACTTCCCGCTGAAGATGGGATTATTGTAATAACGAGGTTATGAGAAGTCTAAGAATTGTCACAATTGGTGTAACAGTCAACTTGGGTTGATGTAGGATAGCACTTTAAGTCTAATGTAAAGAAGACAGATATATATTGTAGATCTGCCATATTGATGACTATTGAATATAAGAGTGGAAAAGGTTGATCATATACAGAGGTCTAGCAGCGAGTATTTATACACAAAGACAATACATACAATATACCATCAATACCAATAACTGTCAACCATTCAGCCATTCAACAACTATGTCATTAGATATACCTGCGTCATATTATCATATAATCATGTATGGTTGAGATACTGGTGTTGTCATTGCTGTGTGCCAATGACGTATCATTGACGCAGGGTCGCTTGACCTGTTGGTTCACTTGCCCAATACTAGCCATTCCAAGTTGTGTGATCTATAAGTGGGTCTGATCACAACACTAAGCCACAGCATAAACGAGTGTGGCGCCATCTATGCATTGAAAACCCCCCAATAACCTCCTTGCGCCCACGCCATACAGCCGCTCATATGTCCAATAGGTAGCCTGAAGCGCTACCATATTACCTGTTCCAACCTCTTAAATACACACGAGATCGTGTCGGGAACCTAGACGAAATGGAGGGCCCATACGTCCACAACACTCCGTGTCTCCATTTCCAACATATACTAGTTGTCTTTTCTCCATGTTTTTCTGATTACCAGTAAGCTTATCATGGTCTATTGTGGTACGGCGAGGTGTTTGGACAGCCTATTCATTAGAAACAACATTAGGGTTAGTAATATTGCTATAAATTTGGGTCTGCAACTTATGAATCTCTTCATTCCCTGATGATATATGAGCGTTGAGTTTACTTATTCTCGTGTTCAATATATTAATATCATTAAGCCGGTTTTCTTTTTGCTGGGTATTATGATCAATGGCTTCACATAGTTATGAAGACTCTTGATGAGCGACAACTAGCCTTTCATTAAGTTCATTGACGTGTCCTGTCATACTTATGAAGTCAGATCTATATTTTAAAATTGTAGCTGACTTGCGGGAAAGTTGACTGTTAAGAACGCTATATTTAAAATCAAGACATTTTAATAAGCTGCAAAACATAATTTTTTCGGGAGAATCTATTTTTGAGGCTATATATATAATTCATTTTACCAGATTTGGCGCCTTGAGGCCCATGCAGGTTTTATCGGAGGATATGTACTTCAAGTAGGATGACTCAATTTGACGATTAGAACACTCACACTCAGATTTTATTTGCAGATACCACTCGAGGTTAAACTTTACGGCGTATAACCTCTTCCGTGCATATCCACCACAGGGAAAAGCGTGAAAAACCTGTGGCTATCCGAGTGTGCTTTCATCATCCCACAAGTACGATATCACCGCGAGAGAGAGTGGTGTGTGGGTCTGACTGGATTCGAACCAGCTTTCTCCTGTCTCGAATGGGGTAGGCGTTCAAGCTACCCAGTATCTACTTGGGAGAATGGCCCGGATGGTGTGCCACTGCACCATCCAAGCCTTGTTGAGGCTATAGTTGTCAGGAGAGGAGTTGGGTTGAATCTGGAGGGAAGGTATGAATCCTCAATAGCTTTAGCAAAATTGGGTCAGCTTCCTTTTTTTTTCTTTTTATTGTCCTGTCTGAGTCTATGACTATGTAGGAAATGCAGGTCCTCTCTGCCTACAGGCCAAGGATACCTTTTTTTTTTTTTTAATCATATTGTATTCAACTATCTAGCTATGACAATCCCAAGGATACCTATACCAGTAGTATATCCCCTCCTATGCCTCCCATACAGCTCCCCTCAAACAGTACCACCCCTCACAACTCCTCATTCGATCAAACACTTAGAGGAGCCCTTTGCCCTTCATTATCCCCCCTCTCCAGCCAACAAAACGATGACCATTTGCGTGTGTATGGCAGCCAGGAAAAATCGCGAAAACCACTGGGTGCGGGCCTCTTCTAATACCGACATTAGGAATAAATCCGAAGACATATTGCCCCTTCTGAAGCGTTCGAAGAGGCCGGCCAGCTGGGCGCTGCAGACTTGTGGGTACCTCGGGAAATTCACACTCTGCCTTTCTAGCCTCCTCTCAACTCTTTCCCGAAGGTCGTGCTGAAATTTCAGGAAAGTCTTGACAGAGCCTGATTGATGTATGACAGCTTAGCCCAACTTCTTTCGTTCTGTTCAGGGCGCTGGGGAGTGCCGTTGACTCATCGACGAAAGAAGCCCTCCTGGCTAATTAGCCGAAATCTTGGTCTTGGCGCCCACAAAAATTCCAAAGTTGAAAACCCCTCGAAAATGTCAGTCCCAGCATGGTCTTCAAAGACCTGTTCCCCTCTCGTTCCACTTCTCAGCTGCCTGTCCTTCCTCAAGATGTATAGCCCCATTAGAGCATCAGTCCCCCATAAGCCAAGACCCCAACTTTGTATATTATGACTTAATTTTCTCCTTTCGGGTATACGTAGCGTCGTAAATTTGTAGTGAGTAATGGCCGGTGATGAGTGAGGCAAGCTCCTGTTTGCAATTGGGATGAAGCCTTTATCGGTCGGCGAGGCGAGATGATATGTGGTTAGATCGGGGTTGAGGACTCAGAAGATAATGATGAGTACTGCATGGTTGAGAATTCGTCAAATGGAGATTTGAACGTGTTTGCTTTCGACTTCGATTCGGTTGCGATTCTTCTTGGCTATCCCAGATATGCAGAGCATACTGAGCGATTACACCGGCACCACTGGAAGGTGAAGAATTCGTCTTTGCCGGCCTAGCTTCCACTATGTTTATCCATGAAAGTAGCTCGAATACTATTGTTGACAATGCATCTAAATCCTCTGCCTTTTCAAGTCTGGGCCGAATTATGTGGGTTCCGTCCACCAAGGTGCAGGATGTTTGGATCGCTCCGCACTCCTCTGGCCGAGATTAGATGACTCCTTCAATATCCAGGTGACTTTGCCCTGGTCCTGCCAATGAAAATAAAACCCTCTAGCCTTCGTAACATCTGCCAATGCATCTCTCAGTCTAGCTTTGTACACTTCACCCGGAACAAGACTTTTTTTTTCATAGTCTGGGGCCCAAATTATCCAACAGCAGATTATGGATGCGGGAGAACTGACTAGGTGATGGGTGGTAAGCTCCTTTTCAATATCGGAATTAACCATCATGCCATGTGTATAAGGGAGACTATTCCAGCTTCAAAGTCTTTTTCTAGATCAAGAGCTTCCCATATCATTCGAAGAAGACTACTTTGCACTCTCACTAAATTCCTACTATTCCTGACCTCTTGGAAGCCGATTAATCTGAAAGATCAAAATTATCAACAAATCCAGTCACTCCACCAAAATATAAGCAATAATTGCTACACAAAACAACTGCAACATGAAAATCTTCAGTCTTATTTCATTCGCCGCTATTTTAAATCATCTAACACCTGTTTATGCCGAAGGTAATTGTAATTATAAATGTGGTCCAGCAGTTATTGATGGGGATTACGTACGAGAATGTGTAAAATCCTACTACGAATATAAAATGAGAACCATCGACAGAGATTACGGACCCAACGATCATTTTACTACAGTCACTTTCCCGCTTCAATATCTTCATAAGGAGGGTCTGTAACTTCACTCTAAATATTCATTGTTTTCTACTAATACTCATTTCCAGAAATAATTACTGTCCAAGTTTCAGCAGATTTTACAGCTCTCAGGGAAATTACTAGTGTTAGAGCTTCGGCTCTCGAGCAAGAGATTGAATGTCTACCAACACAATTGAAGCCTTCATATGGGAAAGCAACATAGACACTCCCCGTGCTTGTGGTTTGAGTATGTGTCAATCAGGATTGTCGGGTGTCGCCTATCCGCTACTAGTTGGACCATCATCTTTTGTCACTTCTGATATTCGAGACTGCGACGAGAATACGCGTAACTGGTATCAGATCTGTAGTTGCGTTGTATCCCGCAAGAGGCACTACACTCTAGCCCATGTCATTCCCAGACATCAATGTATTTAGGCAGTCTCATATCCTTCAGTAAAAAGCAAGAGTTTCCATCAAGCCTTTGCTATATACATAATTCATATCTATGGATACCCTTTGAAATGTATACTTTGTATTTCTCCGTGATCACTCGAAGACTTCTGCATATTCTTAGTTTATCTTCAACACCAATGCAATCTGCAGCTGCCCCTCCATTAAGTTATTGGGAATAATAGACATGCAGAATGAGAGGATCAAAATATGGCAGACTTGAGTGAGATAGAGAAGAGTAAGTGGGATTGAGAGCAGAATTAAGATAAAGTCAGGTGATTGCGGAGAGGTGTGCCACATGAAGAAGGAAATTACCCAACCAAAAAACTCAAAACTTCATTATTAACTGCCACCTATAGAGTCTGGTCTTAAAACCTAACACTGTGGTCCCTTTTCATCGTCAAAAAGCAAATGAGGCTATTCGAGTATCTTTTCAGTGCTCTAATGTGCGTAATGACTAGGTTCCATATCCACGCTGATAGTCTACATCTTGCCAATGAGCTGCACCTCACTGCAATAGACTATCGTCTCCTTACAGAATAACTTGGTTTCTTTGTTAAACTACTTGAATCTTAGATGATCTAGCAAATTGGACTCCTCTTTGGCCCACGCCACATCTCGTTCAGTGCTCCTTGCATCTCATATTACTTGTAAGATCATTGATATATTGCCCGTGATGAATAGCCATTCAGCTCAGTATTTACCCGTGGATTCCAGCCATCTTTTCCACGGAGCCTTTCGCCCAAAAAAATAAGATTGGTAGCAATGGAAACTGCGTGCGCGGGAAAAAGTCTCAAGGGAAACTGCAGTCCCAGCCAGGCAGGGACTAGACACCGGAACCACATGAGGAGCGAATATTCATCTAAATCTCCCTTCTTTGTAACAGTTGAAGCCATCTTAATCCAATCCACCATCTCCGTATCGGGTGCTGGGTGTTACGGGCTGTGCCCGGATTGGGACTGGTCACTAGGACCAACCCGGCTAGATCTTTAAGCGCCAACAAAGCAGCGCTTACAGAGACGCGAAAGGTTGCATGGGTGTGGATCCCGGATAGATCTACAGGGCACGAATTAGCTAGATGTAGGAAACACGGCACACACATGTAATCGTAATTATCCTATGACCTCACGCACAGCAAATCGCACTGTCAGAGCCCGCGGTCACAGCCCGCGACCACAGCAGTAGATCTACTAGCGTTGAGGAGTAAGGAGTAATCAATGTATATAGACACGTAGACATCCGACACTTAAAGGATATAGAATTCACGTATTAGTCTCAAGCTCTACACAAGATTCGTTGTAGTTAGGAGCCACGAGACACCACGTGATATCACCCCAATCTTACACCCACACCCATTGTATACTAAGTATACAACGCGCGCTCGGAACCTCATGGGGAAGAATGCAAGGATATGCACAAAGAGGGATCTAAGTGTCGCATAAGGATTAATGCAAGGTTGCGCACAAGAACGAGTCTCAGTGTTGCATAAGGATAATTGCAAGGTTGCGCATGAGGAAGGACCCAAGGGAGTACGTACTAAGGGAGGGAGGATGTCACAGGAAAGAGGGTAGCCGGGGAGAATGGAGTATTCTCAGGTAGGCTAGGAGGGGTGCTTAAACGCGACGCTGAGTGTGACGGTCTTAAAGTGGCGTTTTATTCAAACTGAACTCAGAGCTAGATACAAATGAAAATCTTAAAGTAACGAGCAGAGACATGACTGAAAGCCTCCTATTTATTTACAAGACTATGATCTCGTTCCCTCATTTCATACCATTCTCAAAATAGATCATGACCTGTCCTCCGACAAACACCAGCATCTCCGTCTATTTTAATTCAGCTTCATTTTAATGTTAGTAATTTTAGTTATTAAAATAGTTATGATGCATGTGGCTTAGATGACTCACGACTGGTGTTCGAGTCGTCCTATCTGCAATCTAAATTTGTCATTTAAGAATAGATTTGCATGAACTGGGCCAAGGCCTATACTTGGGTCAAATGAGTCGTGGAGGGGTTCATGACATGTATGGTGTTTAATATGGTTGGAAGAGTTCAAGCCTTATTTGTTAGGCAGCAGCCTAATGATAACCAGGTATGAGCCTGTGACACTGAGGAGGACATAAAGGACAGGAGCCGTCGTAGGCAGATTAGCTTCCTAAGGAAAAATCATCAATTCCTATTGAGTTAACGTCTTTCAAGTACTTCTGAATTCTTTAAACCCTTTACACTGGGTACTTCAAGGGTTGGTGGCGAGAAGGGCCTCGACCCTACAATCTAATCTGACAGTGAAAGCAATTGAAAACCCTCATAGTAAGGACTTTGTTCCTCAATCTCGATTCTGCAGCCTCTACAGTGAGCAATGGAGGTTCGTAGGGGTTATTGTTGGAAGAAAAAGGATCACTGAAGGCAGAGCGGAGAAGAGTGAATTGATTATTTATAATACGGTATCAATCAAGTCCATAAAAAACGTCGTAAGAATATCATTGAGTAAATCGGTGAGGAGTTGTAAACTATCATTTACGCTATGTTCTCCTGTCATAGAAGTAGAGCCACACTAGTACCTGTTCATGCAAATCTTACAGGGGAGACGGAACTAGAATGTAAATAGTGGATGTAGGGATTGCGTTGGGAACCCTTACGTAATGAAGGTAATCGTTACTAATAGGATTATACTTCATTTTCCAACAGTTATCAGTGACAGGTGCTGAGAATAGTCCCCCTCCGGAATCAGGAAAGGACGCCAGAGCTTGCTGATCAGGAAATCGGTGGCGCCTAGGTTCCCCAAACAAAGAACACGGGACCCGACATGAAATATGATGTCAGACGGCTTTTTCTTGTTTTCCTGTCTGAGTCTATGATTATGTAGGACATGCAGGTCCTCTCTGCATAAAGTCCGAGGATACCTATACCAGTAGTATATCCCCTCCTATGCCTCCCATACAGCTCCCCTCAAACAGTACCACCCCTAACAAGTTCTCGTTCGGCCATACACTTAGAGGAGCCCTTTGCCCTTCTTTATCTCCACTCTCTAGCCAACGATTCGATGGCCGTTTGCGGCTGTATGGCAGCCGGGAGAAATCGCAAAAAGTACTGGGTGTGGAGCTCTCCTAATACCAACATTAGGACTAAATCAATAGATATAATGACCCTTCTGAAGCGTTCAAAGAGGCCGGCCAGCTGGGCGCTGCTGGCTTGTGGGTACCACGGAGAATTCACCCTCTGTCTTTCTAGCCTCCTTCGAACTCCTTCCCGAAGGTCGTGCGGAAATGTCAGAAAAGTCTTGATAAAGCGTGATTGCTGTGTTGTAGCTTAGCCCAGCTTCTTTTGTGCCGTTGACTCATCGACAGAAGAAGCCCTACAGGCTAGTTAGCCGAAATATTGGTCTTGGCGCCCAAAAAAGTTCCAAAGTCGAAAATATCTCGAAAATATCTCGAAAATATCTCGAAAATATCTCGAGAATAATAGACCTAGTGTTCCGACAGAAGGTCCCTTCCTTACATCTTTTCACGGCCGAGTCCCCTGACCTTCCTCAAGATGTATAAGCCCATTAGAGCATCAGTCCCACGTAAACCAAGACCCGAGCTTTGCATATTATGACTTAATTTCCTTTTGCGGGTTTACGTAGCGTTGTAAATTTGTAGCAAATGATAGACGGTAATAAATGAGGCAAGTCCCTGTTTGCAATTAGAGTAACGTCTTTAGCGGTAATTTAGGCAAGGTGGTGTGTGGAGAGGTTAAGGCAAAGGACTCTCAGGAGAATGACAAGATCTTCATTGATGAAAAGTCACCAATTATAGATGTGTCTGTGTTTGCTTTCGAATTTGGTTCCGATGCAATTCTTCTTGGCTATTCCAGATATGCAGAGCTTACTGAGTGATAACATAGGCACCAATGGAAGGTGAAGAACCCGACTTTGTTGACTGTCAGATGGTGTTGAGATAGTACCGGCAAATAACGGTCACGGTACCAAAGGTGCAAACTCACACCTAGCGCTGCAACATGCACATCTACTGGGGCAATACCAAGCTCAGCTCCACAGGGCACAGAACTCTAACCCCAGCGTATCCTGGGCACTTGCTTCGGCAGAGGGAGTTGATGCATTCAATAATTGGGTGCATGTCACAGATTTCTCCGAAAGGGCACAACAAACAGTCTGATTCGAACGAAATCACGATCTGATGTAAACAATCTTCTCCTTTTATTTTTTATTTTGTTTTGTAAAATCTTTTCTTGATTTAGTATCAACGGCATAGCATGAGATTTGTTGGACAAACGACCTTCATGTACACTATAATCTTCGAGCGTAGGATGATAAAATCCTAGCTATTGTTTGCTTTGGTGGGTCTGTGAGGGCGCCAACACGTCGGGTAGTTTAATTTAGACTGGGCTAACTGGTACGTGAGGAACTTACGTGCTGTGCGGGGGCACGACGTTAAATATTATAAATTGTAAGCAGACGTAAGTTTATTGTACGGGGGTGCAGTTCATAGGCAAGATGCAGATCTATAACAGGGATATTGAACTTACTGATTGCGCATATGGGGGGCATTGAAGAAGGTACTAGAATAGCCTCATGCACTAGTTGGGGGTGACAAGGGATCACAGAGAGGTATTAAATCAGACTCTCATAGTAGTATAGAAGAATAATATAGTGAGTTCTTTTGATGATTAATTGCCTTCTCGATCTGGCTCAGTTCTATACAGTCACGTGGCCTTTGCATAATTTTGCTGTGAATTCTTACATAAATAAATAAAATGCACATCTACTGCTCGCCA